TGACCGGTACCGGCTGCTGTCACCTGTAGTGAGCAGCTCTCTGCTGTCTGAGGGTAGGCCCCGCCCACAACGCCGTGGCCGCTGTGGCTCCGTGTTTTCTTTACTGTGGGAAACGGGTAATAATGGCTCTTTGATGGGAACAGGTTGCCGACCCCTGGTATAAGATCTGAGCTGGTAAAACAAAAATCCTCATCAGCAGGCATTTTTTAAAGTGGGGGGGGGGACACAGCTGCCAATCACAAATTTTGCCGGGGACATGTCCCCAGTGTCCCCGGTTAAAATGACGCCTATGGTTACGCATGACCACTTCCTTCATAGCACCCTCAATAAAAAGACTAGCTCCTTCATAGCACCTGCAGAAAAACCTTTCTGGAGCCGCCGCTGCCTGGACAGCCATGAGACGTGTCTCCAGCGTGTCCTGGATCTTCCTTTAGACCTTCTCCTGGTTGGACGTGCCCAGAAAACTTCACCAGAGAGGTGTCCAGGAGGCATCCTTACCAGATGCCCAAGCCCCCTCAACTGGCTCCTCTCAGTGCGGAGGAGCAGCAGGTCTACTCCGTGCTTCCTCACTGGAAGACGTGCCGGTGGGATTGAGATCTTTGAAGTCCTCTGCCCACAGATCCACAACGTCTGGAGTAGAGGTCAGCAGTATACCGTCTATAAACAGCGTTGGCAGTGCACTGCTGTCCCCTCCTGAGACACCAGTTGGTGGACCAGAATCTTGCTCCATGATCTCACCGAACTCCCCCTCGTCCAGGTTTTTGCCTCTGTGACTACCCAGGCCACAGTCCACTTGGCCTGCCGGTACCGATCAGCTGCCTCGACGATGGAAGCGCAGAACATGGCCCACTCAGACTCAATGTCCTCTGCCAGTTTTGGAAGTTCTGACGGAGGTGGGAATTGAAACTTCTTCTGACAGGAGACTCCATCAGACATTCCAAGCAGACCCTCACAATACGTTTGGGCCTGCCAGTACTGACCGGCATCCTCTCCCACCACGAAGCCAGCTCTCCACCAGGTAGTGGTCAGTTGACAGCTCCGCCCCTCTCTTCACCCGAGTGTCCAAGACATGCGGCCGCAGGTCAGACGACAGAACAACAACGTGGATCGTGGAGCTGCAGCTTGAGGTGTCCTGGTGCCAAGAGCACACAAGGACACCTTTATGTCTGAACATGGTGTTCATTATGGATAATAATAATGATGCATTGAACTTACATAGCGCTTTTCTAGACCCCCAAAGATGCTTTCACACACTCTCACATTCACACACTGCCAGTGATGGTAAGCTACTTGTAGCCACAGCCGCCCTGGGGAGGTCTGACAGAGGCGAGGCTGCCATTGTGCGCCGTCGGCCCCTCTGACCACCACCAACACAGGCAAGTTGGGTGAAGTGTCTTGCCCAAGGACACAACAGCAGGATACCCCTGGCGCGAGCTGGACTCGAACCCATGACCCTCCGATCATGAGGCAACCCGCTCTACCACCTGAGCTACTGCTGGATTATGGATAATCCATGACTGGCACAGAAGTCCAATAACTAAACACCACTCGGATTCAGATCAGGGGGGCCGTTCCTCCCCATCACACCTCTCCAGGTCTCACTGTCGTTGCCCACGTGAGCGTTAAAGTCCCCCAGCAGAACAAGGGAATTAGTGGGAGGAGTGATATCCAGCACCCCCTCCAAGGTCTCCAAAAATGGTGGGTAGTATGAGCTGTAGTTTGGTGCATAAGCACAGATCACAGTCAGCACCCATCCCCCCACACGTAGGCGGAGGGAGGCTACCCTCTCGTTCACCGGGGTAAACTCAAATGTACAGGCACCAAGATGGGGGGCAACTACGCCCAGTCCTGCTCCATGCCTCTGAGTCGGGGTATCTCCAGAGTGGTTGAGTGTCCAACCCCTCCCGAGGAAACATCTAAATGAATGGACCGAGTTATTTAAAAATACTTTCATGTAATTTTCTCAAAATCGTCCAGCTTTTTCAGACGACTTTTTAAACATTTCCTAAAATGTTTCCAATAGGTCTTCAGCCATGGGACCAGATTCATGAGAGTCTCAAAACATGTGATTCTGGGACTTTCTCAGCCCCAGGGGCGGATTTAGGACTGAAGAAGATTTGGGGCTTAACACACACACGCGTGCGCACACACACACACACACACACGGGACACGCACTAGTCAACATCATATTTGTCTTGTACCACATAATTTTTTATCTGAAGCTACATATTCAGCATTTTCAGGGCAGAGTATTGTTCCTGTTAGTGTTTAGTGTGAGATGATAGTAAATATTCCCGCTCTTTCTCCATCAACTTTACCTGATAAGCTAACTTTAGGCAAACCAGCAGCACAACAAATATTTTCAAATGAGACTCACAAACCTGAGTCAGCACCAGTCTCATCAGAGCTGGGGTTCTGTCGCCGTACGTTTGGTCTAAAAAACGTCCTTATGTCCATCTTCACTCATGCGTTTCAGGCAGAGAGTGCAGAAGAAGCTGGCTGCTGAAGGGCTTCTTCAGTGGTGGAGGCTCAGGCAGGCTGTATACAAACTACTGCCAGCTGCTCCCTCTCTGTTGGACTTTGGTACTGCATGTTACTTCCGCGATTTAGATCCGGGGCTTTTCATAAATCATCTGGGGCTTCAGCCCAAGTAGACGGGGCTAACGCCGCCCCTGCTCAGCCCAAGTGGTTCACTGGACCTTCATTTTCAGGAACTGCTCCACATTCCACTGGACAATGAATGTGACGTACTCTTGTTTCACTCTGTTGCATCATCCCACCCACCAGGCATGTAGAGTGCCCTGATTGGCCCACAAAGCGGATAAAGCTCTGTGATTTGTTCACTAAGCAGATAGAGCACTATGATTGGCCCACCATTATGGACCAATCACAGCACTTTATGTGTTTGAAACCCCTCTAGAGAGCTGTGATTGGCTAGCCAGAGTCCTGGTAGGAGCTGCGGAGGTTCCAACGGAGCGTGCCTAGACCAAACTTTGCAAAGCAAGACTTTGGTCTAGTTCACTAGGCTACCTGAATCTTGTAGTTTCTGTGATCTCGCATTCCAGCAAAAGGAAAAGTGACCACCTCAAAGTCCAGACTGTGATCCAATGAGCTGCTGCTGGTCAGCAGAGGGGCGTCGTATATGAAACTTGTATTTAACCCAAAAATCACTTTGATTATTGGGAGATCAATGTTAAAGGTTTAGGCAGCAGGAGGATCTGATGATGATGACTAAGAGAAACTGAGGACTAGATCAGCTGGGATGATGGCTCCTGAGTGAGATGTGGCTTTGACTCACAGCTCAGGGTTTGAGCAGAGAAACTGGGACGAAGCTGAGATGAGGAAGAAACTCAAACAGGAAGAAAACTATCAGCGAGAGAAGTTCTGCAGCAAGCACCTGAAGACCAAAGCCCTCTTCTGAACTTGACAACCGGAGGCAGATTCGTTTTTTGAATAAAAAAAAAGATGCAAGCAAAGAATTAAAATGTTTTTCCGGTGCAACACAGAACCTGCGTGATTTCCTGGCTATTCTGTCAGGAATCTTGGCGTGACCTTTGACCCAGCTCTCACCCTGGATTCTCATGTCAGTTCTCTTGTTCGCTCTTCCTTCTTCCATCTCAGGAACGTTGCTAAGCTGAGTCCCATTCTGTCCCGCTCTGAACTTGAGACAGTTCTCCACACCTTCATCTCCTCACGCTTAGACTACTGTAACTCTCTTTTCACGTGTCTGAGCAGAACCTCCCTGAACCGTCTACAGGTGGTTCAGAGCGCCTGTGCTCGGCTTCTGACCAAGTCCTCCAAACACACCCACATCACCCCGCTTCTCCTCCAGCTTCACTGGCTGCCAGCCAACTTCAGGGTTCATTTCAAGATCCTGGTTCTGGTCTATAGGGCCTTACATGGACAAGCACCATCTTACATTGGTGATCTTCTTAGTCCCTACACCCCCAGCAGGTCCCTGAGGTCCAGTGATCAAAGCCTACTGGTTGTGCAGCACCAGGCTAAAGGTCAAAGGTGACAGATCATCTGCTGCTGTGGCCCCCAGACTCTGGACCTCTCTCCCCCTGAGCCTGAGATCAGTGGACTCAGTGGTCTCCTTTAAAAAGCAGCTGAAGACTCACTTGTTCAAGCTGGCTTTTGTATGACCTTCTTCACCTCTCTCTCTTTATTCTGCTCTCCCCACCTATTCCACCTTCCTCAGGATCCACTGGTTTCCCTCTTTCCTGTTCACTCTCTTTCTTTCTTAACATTTTTTAATCACAATTGCCTATTTTTGCTCATTTTAAATATATTTTAAACATTTTCTAAATGCTTTTTATATTTTAACGTTTTTTGTTTTTGTGAAGCGCCTCGTGATTTTTCTTGAGAGGCGCTATAGAAATGATGTTTTCTTCTTTTTTGGCTTTATTACTGAAACTCTTGCAAAGTGGCGTCTCTTGAATGAATATGAATTTTTATTTGTAGAATCTTTAGTAGTTTTAAACTTCATCTAAATGCAAATCAGATATCATAAAAAAAAGAAATCCACACATCTGTGAACCACTAAATGAAAATAAAACAAGCAAAATTCTGCGTTTCACTTACATGTTTAGATTTTTTGTGCATAACTTATCAAATGTTCTACCATCAGAAACTATTCAAGTGCTGCAGCTGGTCCGTATCCTGATCAGTAACGCGGGGAAACATCTGGCTGCAGAACTTCGTCTGATGGCGTGACGAGGACCTGGGAGGACTGCAGTCATATCTTCATTAATTCATGTCTCCATTAAACAACGTCCTGGCTCAGAACGCGTCCCGCACAAACACGCGGCCCTTCCACTGGGACCGGGCTCCCTGACAGACGGCTTCAACGCCAACAGCAGCTTTTAAAATATTCAGTCATGTATCTAAACGGGAATCATTAAAGTTTCAAGAGCACAGTGTGAGGACTATAAAAACTTGCAGTCTTTACCTTGAGCATCCTTAAAGCCATAAAGCAGCAGCGACGTGCAAATATTACCTTTCAGTTTCAGAGCGAAGGAATGTGTGGATGTTCACACTTCAGCTGCACGGGAAGTCACATCTGTAATTTGGCCCGCTGTGTGACTAAATACGCCTTCAGCAGCAGTTAAACACCTTGGATTCTCCAATCTGAAAAGCATAATGACACTTAATGTAGGAGGGGATGCCTGCAGAGCTCAATGGGTCCCTACATGAAGAAGACTCTGCGTCTTCGCCTCTGAATACCTGTCATGATTACATCCAGGGGTGGGGGCAGGTGGATCTTACGCATGCTGAGCTGCAGCACGCCAGGGACAAAGGTTTCAGTTTCACCTGCACGCATGGGCGTAATTTTGTGTGTGTGTGTGTGTGTGTGTGTGTGTGGGGGGGGGGGGGGGATGCCCCCCACTTTTTCCAAAGTCAAGTTTTGACCCCTGCACTTTTTACCATCCAAAAACAATATTACGCTATATTAAATTGACACTGGTTGAGCTCTAGGACCAAGTGGAAAACAACCGTTTGTGTTGAAGCCTGTTTCCCATTAGAGCATACTGTAAAGATACCCCCCCCCGTGCCCCCCCCCACTTCTAAAGTGAAAATTACATCCATGCCTGCACCTTATTTACTGACTGAAGAAGAGCACAGGTTTACAACCTCCAAGTAAATAAAATCTATTAAAATAAAACTAAATGTCGTTCAGGATGGTGGTCCAGCGTGTAACTGGGCTGCAGCTTCTCTGGGTTTGTCCCTTCAGGTGTCTCCACGGCCAAACACCTGTCTCTGTGTGGTCCTCTCTCCTACGTCCTCTACCCTCACACCAACGAACGACATGTCCTCTTTCACCGTGTAGCGACACGAATGGCCTCATTTGTGACCCAAAGGTCACACTTCCCCAGCCGGGTCACGCCGTCCTGGCTGAACTTCTGTCCACAGATTATCCATCACAGGAGACAAAGTCTGCTAAACCATCTTTAATCTGTCTGCTGTTCCGTCCCAAGATGGAGGACACGCCAAGATTTAAAATAATCATTATTAATAAACTCTTTTTCACTGTTTATTACAAGGTTCATAAATAATCATCACGGTTCATTATAAATGTATTTAATTACTGAAATGAATTATTATAGTTTGGTTAATAATAATAATTATTTATGATAATCAGTAATGTTTAACGGTAACCAGAAGGTCATGTACGCTTACACACGCCATGCAGGACGCTGAATTCAGGTTAAAGGTAACGGCACCTCACACGTCTTTGCTCCATAACCAAAGCTTTCGACCTCTGAGAGGGCGTGTCCTGAGGGTTCGTTAAAACCAAACTCCTCAGTCCAAGCTGACAGTTCTGAACCAACCAAAATCTCTCCGTAGCACGAGAGGCCCAGAGGATCAGGGTCGGCCGCCCGAAGCCTCCACCTGAGCTGTTCTGTCACTCCGATAGCATCGCTCCGAATAAACGCCACCTGCACCAGCTGACACAAAACTCCTTCAGAGTTACTGATTTTTTGAGACGCAACCAGTTTCATCAGTCGTCTTGACCCGGAGACATCTCAGGACCGATTTGGTCGCACCAAGGTTCTTCTACCCACCTCGTGCTTGGGGGTTCACCATCCCCACCTGACGGGGGTCTCCTAACCGGGTGAGGTAGACACTTCCGACAGAGCGCGTCCGTACGCCGTTATCTCTAAGAAACAACTTAGTTCAGCTGCAAAACAAACTCTTTCACCCAGAAAGCGTTTCCCTCTCTGATAGGAACCCTCTGAGATTCCTTCCACGCGTCCAAACACACGCATTTCATTTTAGTTTTCACCCAGACACAGGCTGCTTTTAATACCAAGTTTAATATCAAAGCTGTTATAAATTGTCATCTTTAAAATTGTTAGTAATAAATTCTTAACTTTTTACACCTGCCTCTCCTTTGAAGTGAAACACAGAACGGTGTATATTTGGTTATTGAACAAGCAAAGATTCCTTTAAGTCTTCTGTTTAATAAATCAACGTTTGCTATTAATTTAAATCTCTTAAATATTAATCTTTGGATTAGCTATAGACCAAGCCCGTTGGTGTATGGACTTCTATCGATTATATAAACATCCTGGATATTTTTACATGATATAAGCTTTAGGGATGAGCCGGATACTCGTTTCAGACGAGTATCCGGTACGGATAACGCATTTTTGACGAATACGAGCATGAAACTAGTAAAACGAGTCATTATCTGTAATCGTGCTGAAGGAAAATCTTCATTGGGTAACAGACTGTCTTCACGCTCTGTGATTGGCCAGTCACATAGAGCGCCCGCCCCTCCCTACTTACAAAACTCTCTAGCCGGCCGGGAGCTCAGTCCGGCCGGCTCATCCACGCACACACACACACACACACACACAGACAGTAACGGATCGCGCTGTGATGGCTTCACTGTTTCTCACGTTTCTTCAGTTTTCCCTAGGTTTTCTTCAGCTCGCCTCTTTTTTGGTTGAATACTTAAAGTTACTTTTTTCGTAACTGACATGATGCATTTGACAAGACAGAGCTGACGTGCTGTACCTCCGCTCCGGTTTTTTGTTTTTTTTTTTATTTATTTTTCTCTCTCTCTCTCTCACACACACACACACACACACACACACACACACACACACACACACACACACACACACACACACACACACACACACACACACACGCACACACACACACACGCACACACACACACACGCACACACACACACACACACACACACACACACACACACACACACACACACACACACACACACACACACACACACACATTAATCAACATTTTTTTGTTTAACTTTGTGTGGGAAAATGCCAAGAACGTTAAGAAAAAATCAGTTTAATCAAATTAAAATAAAAAAAAATATATAGAAAGTTGTGTCTGGTTCTAGTATTTCATATTTCCTAGTTCCATACTGCATGGGCTCAGATGTATTAATCCATGCACTCAAATATTAATGTTCTGATTTTATTGAAACACTTGTTCTGTAATAGTTTCTTTACTATTGTGATCAAAAATATTTAATCTCAATTCTGAGGCTGCTCTGTAAATAGTTTTCAAATAAACAATACAGCAACTTCTGATCAATCCATATCAACACTGTTAATACTGTTTCTTTCAAATTACTCAAAAAAAATAAGGCAACATTTTCCAAACAAATTTTGTAAGTTTGGTCAACTAACCAGCAATATGAGTAGGTACAACTTAATAATTTCACCTTTTTTCTACACTAAAACCTGTGTCTTTCAAATTACTCCAAAAAATTAAGTCAAGATTTTCCAAACAATTTTTTTGAGTTTGGTCAACTAACTATTATTTTAAGTAGGTACAACTTAATAATTTCACGTTTTTTCTACACTAAAACCTGTGAGATTTAAATTATTCAAAAATAATCAAGGCAGCATTTCCCAAACAAATTTTTAAAGTTTGTTAAACTTAGTATTTGGACTATGGAAAAATTAATAATCTTCATTATTTTATATGAACTGAAACCTTTCTTTGATGTTATTCCAAAAAATAAACCAAAAATTGAAATTATTTAGATTTAATTCAACTTTTCAATACTAAAACAGTTTTTAAAATGTAAAAAGTAAATAATGATAAATACTGTGAAGCTGTAAATAGTCCACTTTCAACATTTATTTTTCCAAAATCATTGAAACAGTGGCACTGAAGTAAATACTAACAAGATTTGTAAATTGTAAATCTTACAACTTTTGTAAAGATTTTTACAAGCCATACACATATTACTGTAAAACATTTACATCACAGTAAACACCGGAACGGTGTGAGACCTATGCTCACAAAACTCATACTGTCAATGACAACATGAAGCATTTTCCACCTAAAATCTGGAAGCATTTCAATCGAAAAATACATGAACATATTTGTATGAAGTACAGCTGAACCTCTCAAAATTTGTAGTGTTTTGTTGTTTATATACTTGACATTTCACTTTAAAGAACAAGTCATTTAACAAGTAATTTTCAAGTGTTATCCAAACTACTTTTGAACAGAACCCATCTCAGCTTAAAAAAACTGTCACATGACAACCCAGAGCAATATCTGGAACAATTGCCTTTTGTCATTGAAAAACACATTTTATTATTGAACGAACACAACAGACCTGCTGTTCAGAAGTGTAGGGGCCACACTCAAGTTGGCTGCCTAGGTAAGAAGTTTGTTTTTCAGAGTCATGTACCTGGAGCTTGGTTTTGGGCGGAGTGTATCAAGACCCACAAAAAGTCTCTGAAAAACTTCAAACGTTTTGACAAGTTTGGTAGGATATTGGAGGTTCAGGGCGTATGTCAGACCGAGAAGCATGCTGCATGCTTTGGCTAGACTGCCAAGATTAGTGAGCACCGGCACTCCCTCGATGATTATTCCTACAGCATCTGGATCATGGCAAATGTAGATCATCATGCTGCGCAGTTTTAGGTCCTCGTGCACGCTGGTCTCTGGGCTTCCCTTAATGACAAACAAAGACAATGGCAAAACATCAATTAAAAAAATTAACACAAATACCAAAATCATCAGTTCCTGACTTTTTAGCCAGAATTATTTGTGTCTCAGTAACATTAATTTCTATGGCATTTTTAATGCAAATGCTGCATGACTTGAAGAGCTAACATTAAATAAATAAAATAAAAAAAAGCTTTAAATTGTATGTGTTCATCTACATCAGCGGTACTCAATAGGCGGCCCACGGGCCACATCTGGCCCGTGAGCCCTTTCTTTTTTGCTCCCGAACCTTTCACACCCAAGGATCCAATCAGTTCTGTTATTTTCCTCATTCGCACTGACTGAGATAACGGCGCAGTGTGCGTGGCTCTGGTGTTAATCAGGTTTAATGTTTCTGTTTGCAACCATCTTCACAAGAAGGCAAAATAGTTAAATGACAGGGTTCGCACGGACCGGATATTTCCTGTATTTGAGTGTTTATTTTGACGGAGAAATCTCAAGCCTACAGATGCGCTGACATTTTTATCGTTACACACATCGTGGAGGTAGCTACATCAATCAGGAAAAGATAACCATCAGAACATTTGAGATGGACACTGAGCTCAGCGCAGCTCGCCGTCAGCGCATGCGTATGGTGAACAGCAAGCTGAAGATGTGTAGATCGGGGGCTTGGAACGCATCGCAGAACCAGAACCATGCAGGAAGATTCTGTGTTTTCTAAACCCGGTCTCTCAGAGACTAGTCACTTAGAAAATGTTCCCTGATTATGAATCTTTGGCTTAATAGCGCTTGTTCCTGTCTCCAACACTACGACGCATCCATGAGCCTGTCTGAGGAACAGTCCAGAACCTCACATCCTCTACGACGCATCCATGAGCCTGTCTGAGGAACAGTCCAGAACCTCACATCCTCTTCAGCTCAGAAAGCGCCTAGAGACATTTGATTACGCACAAGCAGGTGACCTGTTCAGGTTTACATCATAGACTGTACATATACTGGACAATTCGATTCCATAGGCTTCAATAACACGTTATCTGTCCATAATGGGAGGTGTCCACCACCGCCATTTTGACCGTGTCACAGGTTCCGTCCAGCCCAGACAATTCCATAAAAGGGAAGAGAGGAGGCGCTGAGGGTGGGGCTGTAAGGCTGGGCTCGAGTGACGACACCCAGGCGAACTAGCTACGAGCTAACCTGAAGCTAACCCTGGCTAACCCAAAGCTAAAGCGGAGGTGGGAGCCGAGCTAACGGATGTAGCCACCTAGCTTCAACCCAACCGGAGCTAACTGGAACACCCATCGAACTGAACCTCACACGGAGTTTAGGTGGAGGTTTTCTGCGCCTGTTCGTGAGAAGTACCTGTATTAAAAAAGTTTTAAATCGGTAAGTTTATAATTTATTTCCGTAATGAATACATTTTGCTTTGAGCAAGTTTTCAGTAGTTTTTTTCGGCGCTATCACTCCTGAGTCGCACCAGCCATTAAATGTATCATGAATAAGAGAAAATATATTTAAGTCGTATTTTGGGGGGACATTTTATTATCTTTCTTACAAAATCTGAGACCAAGCGTTTCACATAGCAACACAAGCACCGGTAACCATAACAGAATGAACAACAGCCAGCAGAGGAGAGGATGGCGGTGTTTCAAACCCTCCCGGCCGGCGAGGACAGCTCATTCCTGGGCTGGAGCCGGCCCTCAGCACCCCGCCACAGGCTCTAACAGATGCTGGCGGTGTTTGAAACCCTCCCAGCGGGACAGGGGAACTCATTCTTGTGTGGGTCGGAGTCGGCCCGCAGCAGCGCGGTGTAGCCTACATATTTTGTTATATAAGTCGCTCCGGAGTATAAGTAGCAGGACCTGCCAGAAAATGTAAAAAAGTGCGAGTTATAGTCCGGAAAATATTGCAGTTATTAGTATTCGAGCTAAATTAGCAGCGTAAATACATTTCATATATTTCCAAAATGTTATACTTGTTTGTATCTTGTACAGCCAACTAGTCTTTATTCTGGACTCAGTACAATTTATCAAAAGTAAAGAGACATTCTACAGATGAAGTAAGCACAAGATAACTTACTGGAAGACACAGAGTTATCATGAGAACCAGAACAAGAGAGCCTGATAACAGTCATGTGAAAATAACAGTTAAAAAGTATGTATGTATAATAGAAATAAAAATATATTAGAATTAGTGTAACTCACTGTGATCCAAACAATAAATCAGCCATAGCTGATTAGTAAATATGACATGAGGTCTGGGAGTTTTTAAGTTTCATTTTTATTTTTTTGTTAGATCTGTTTAAATGTCACCATGGCAGCCTGTGTGTCTCCAACATCAGCTATGCAAAGCAGCAAGTGTAAGTTCCACATACCTGTCTCACCACTTCATGTATGGTTTTGTACTTTAAACAATTATGACAAACCTGTTATTTTTTCTCCATAGCCATTTGGATAATTGGAGACAGCTACGTGAGGCGTGGTGCCCAGAGAGCTGCAGAGACAACCTTGGCCTCCCTGACGTCTGTGTCTCCTGGTTTGGTTGGGGTGGACCATCGACATACATACATGTGCCGACACTTTGCGCCCTGTTTTATAAAATGTAGTGTTAAAAATAAATGTTTTTGCTCAATTACTGGAATTTCTTTGGTTAAGACAAAAGTGAGGAATAATCATTTACAAGTTATTTGTACAACAGGCCCATTTTAAATCCCAACAGTTTCTTAGCAGACAATAGAAATGTGTTCTTTACTAACTTTACTTGGTTTAAAAATCTTACTAAAATAGTGCCGTATTGCAAAACCCAATCATACTTGTTATGTATACATTAGTTTTGTAGATATTTTTTAGATATATATTTGTGTGCAACAAATCCAAACTTAAATAATTTGTCATTCTTTATTGAAAAACAACAAAATACAGTTATACAGAAGTGTGGGAAAATGATAATGTGAAAGTATTGCTATTTAAATGTAATCCTATTTATCTTTAAAAAGAAAAACTCTAAAAATGTCCTGTACAGCATCATGACAGAAGAATGGTGGTCTGTCTGTCAGAATGTGCTGAACAGATTTGCTCTTTGAAGAGGAGTGTCATGTTTGGAGGAAGGTACTTAACCCAAGACATGCAGAATACACCACTGACCAAAAACTGATGGAAAAAATGATTTATTTATAAGGAGGAACTTAAGGTGCACAGATAAGTCTGTGGTTGGAACTGCAACAACAGCTCAGCGTCTGGAGGAGGGAGAACACAGGTGAGCTTAGGTTCTGGTTTCAAAATCCATTGTAGGCAGGCAGAGGTGTTCAGCAGACTTACTGTGGTGGGTGTATGTGTTGGCTGGAGGAGGGAGAGGTAGAGAGGAAGCGCAGGAGAGGGAGCAGAGGTGGAGAGAAGCGGGGCGTCCTGGTGGATGGGGCACTGGGTGAGATGAGAGGTGGGTTATGGAGGGTGGTGATAAGGTCCGTGTGTTGAATATCCAAATCCTGGAGTAGAGGTCAGTATCCAATGAGGTCGACAGGAATCCTGAAGAATGGTAAATCCAATATAATCCTAGGAACACTAGAGGTAACACGAGTGGCTGGTTACTACCAAAACTGAGGCAATCTTCTGGCGTCAAATTGTGTCCTCCATCCACCTTAAATAGGAAAGCACCCCGCTGATCGCTGATCAGGAACAGCTGGGGTGTAGTCACCAGAACCATGAAGAATGTGTCTCCAGAGACAACTCGGGTCCTGGTACCAATCAGGAAAGCGGACCTTATCACCCAGAGCTGCCAGGTCACGCTCAAAGCCTTCATGTTCACGCTGCAGAGCCTGAACGCTGGCTAGGTGGTGGCCGTAGTTGTCTGTGTTCAGGGCCTGGTTCTTCTCCTCGATCCACTCTTTGGTCTCATCAGCGTCTCTGAGAAGACATCAGAACTCCGTCTGAGTGTGGGTCCAAACTCTACTGACCCGTAAGCGGCGCATAAGTGTGCGGGGTACCTGTGGAAGCGCTACACCTCATGGGCGCTGCCCAGCATGTTGCAGCGAGCGCCAGCGGTTGTTCAGCTCCTGGAGAGAAACCAAACCCAGTGAGATGAAGGTGGACGCCAGCGGGCTGGACGCCGGACGAGGAAACCTGGAGACGGATCGCTCAGACAGGAAGGGAAGAGCTTCCTCTTACCTTGATGGAATTAAAGTTAGCCGTCGTCTGAACGCCCAACCGTACGGTCTGAGGTCAAAGGTCACAGGAAACACACACCAGTCAGCAGTCATACAGATGCATAAAGATAACTGTAGCCATGGCAACCAGCTGACATGTCCCCACTTTCACCAGCACCTGGTGCCTGCCGGGTCACCTGAATTCCTGTGTGATTTCAGCACGGTCGGCCGTGACTGCGGCCATCAGAGGTGACCTCTGATCAGCTGAATGAACTCACCTTCTAGGGTGACGCCGTCTAACCCCGGGTTTCCACGGGAGCCGTCAGCAGCACGTTACTGCAGCAGCTTGTCTTGCTCGCGTAAGCTGCTGCTCGGCCCTTCCCGCGACATGCTGCTCCTGAGACGTGGCCGACTCGCGCTGCTGACGGCTCCGGTGGAAAAGGTTCTGTTGACCACAGCGGTTCCTATCAGCAGCTATGACGTGCTGCTGCAGTAACGTGCTGCTGACGACTCCTGTGGAAAGCCGGGGTCAGAGTCGGCTTCATCCTGTAAACAAACAAATGAGTGGTAACAAAAACACCACGTCTGGTTCTGGTGGAGGCGGAGGACAACACGCACCTTTCCAGGAGCAGAACCCAGATGTTCTTGTTGCTACAAACAGAGACGAGCAGAGTTAACAAACCAGGAAGTGAGAGGGACCAGCTGCTGCAGACAGGTGACGCTCACCTGAGCCTGAACCATAGGAGCCTCCTCAGCCATCAGACCTTCTGACTCCAGTTCAGATGCCACCTTGTTGATGTCCCTCAGGCGGGACTCGTTGGCCTTCAGGTCCTGCAGGACAAAAGCACCTGCTGATTATCACCTGAGCTGATCTGACAGCTGCTGCTGGAAGACGGAGAGGAGGAAAAGTCCGACCTTCTGGAAGTCGTCAAACTTCTTCTGCAAGACCTCGACCTGCTCCAGGTCCGACCCGTCTCTCCATCCTCATTCAGCTAAAGACGCGAGTTCAAGTAAAACAACCTAAAGTCACACAAACACAAAGCAGGTGTGGAGATGTTCGCTCTGAGCTGGAGGTCGTTCCTCGGCTGTGAAGGGCACACGAACCTTGTTGGTGCTGTTGAGCAGCGTGAGGATGTCGCCCTTCTTCATGGTGACCTCTCCAGGACTCTTCTCCTGGTAGTCGTACAGAGCCAGAACCAGCTCCTTCCCGGTCTCATCGTCAGTTGGAGCCACTTGTTGCTGTCGGGTTAACAGGTCTGGTGTTAGAACGTGGTGGATAAGAATGTTCTGATGGGCCGAGGGTTCTGAACCAGCGAAGTGACCTGGACCCAAACAAAGTGAGCCAGAACCTGCAGACACCTCAGAAACATGTCAGGACCAGACCTGCTCTACCTTCTTCCACCATGGTCTCTCCTTTCTGGGTGACAGCCTTGATGCGAGGTTCATGACCTGTGATCTCAGCCTGCAGAGCCTGGTGCTTCTTCAGCAGGTTCTGGACACCAATCAGGTCCTTCCCTGAGGACACATGTTAGAGTTCAGCATTATGCAGTAGACAGACCAGTTTAACCCAGGGGTTTCTTTCTTCTACAATCTGCTCTTTAACTGTACTATTTCCTGCTATTTCAGCTGTTAACTTTATTTTCTCTCTAAGTGTTTTTCTCCCCAGAAGAAGCTACAACGATGTTCTGCTGAGCTGTGGTGGCCTCATGGAGGGGGCCATCATCTAGCACACTGCCGCTAACCACTTAATCATTCTCCCTCTCCTGATAATAACATTTTACTTTCTTTGATGTTGGATGTACTACTGCTAGTTTACCCGTTTAATTATAGATCCACTAGGATAAATACAATAAAGTTTATCTCTCGCCAAATAGAATATTTACTAAGAAATCACAATGTAACGTGTGTGTGTGTGTGTGTAAAAGCCATGCGTAGTGTTTATTTATAAAGCATATGTTGTTGGATTTTATCCAGAATCGAGACTTTGAAAATATAAAGTTTAATTACAGTTTGATTTATTTGACATCTGTATAATGTTTATTATTTTGTTTTTTCCCCCTAAATACCTAACGTTTTAGTTAACATGAATATTAGTCATTCATCCCAATACATAAAGTTACACATTTTAAATTTTAATAGGGGAAGACTGCAGGAGGGAGCAGTAAAATACAGGGGGTCCCCTGCAAAAACTAACTTTAGGAGTCTGATGAAAGTTGCTGGTATTCCCGCTGCTTCTTCGGTAAACAGCGCCAACAAAAACAAAGAAACTTGGGATCTTGTCGGCGTGGCAGTGGGATTTAAGGGAAACGCTGTATGCCCTATAGACTTCTCAACGAGCTGCAGTATTTCTCCGGTCAGATCTGTCTCCGAGTTCCACAAGCGGTCAGCCCGCAGCAGCGAGGCGCCGCATCGATCAGCCTGCCCGGCCTGACCGCTGGGGATTACCGGATGAAAGAATAGAGCACAGAAGTGTCCCCCCAAGCGGCGCGCCCCGTCATATTTCAACCCATTTTTATCTTAAATGCACTGGGTTTTACCCTATTACCCATTTAAATATGCCCTATTAATTATTTTACCGTATTTTACATTTAAATGTCATGGTTAAACAGTACATGCTACATGTTAAACTGATAGTTAGCTGGCTACTTCGGTAAACTCAGCTAGTTTAAAGGCAGCAGTGACATAAAATACAAATATAGATTTTAACTTACCGAAAAAAATGAAGTGGAGACTCCTTGGACGCTCTATTAGTGCAATTAATACCACAGCAAGTCATTTTGTCCAACAATTGCACCAATATTATCCAAAACAGAATTCACAAGCACAGAGACTCAAAATCCCGACACAGTTTCCAGGAGAGACCGAGGCTGTACTGAGGCCTTTCCACGGAGCTAGCTATGTGGTCACGTGGGTCTGAGGCGGCGGTCACGTGTGTCGGATGTTCATTAATTATACAGAATTTTAGGCTTTCAATACACTTAAACAGAAGAGTGAGAAAAAAATTCACCCCCCTCAGAGTTGTCATGAGTATAAACTAGATAATTTAGACAAAAAACCATTTTTTGAACCAGGCTGTAAACATGTTTATTTCTGCTGTGAAAATGGCATTTTTAACATGGGGGTCAATGAGGATTTGCTCGCTTCTGGTACCAGCCCCCAGCGGATGAGGGTGGAACTGCAATTTTTCTTACTTCCGGGTTGGGACCATTTTCTGAGCGGCATTGTGGGGGCTTGGTTTACATAGACAATCTTTACATTTAGAATTGGCTACAGATAAAAAATGAATGCAGTAAAATAAAATACATTGTAATTAAATATTCATTAATTATTTTACAAGCAGAGAGCCGCATCAGATGGATGAAAGAGACGTATGCGGCTCCAGAGCCGCGAGTTGCCGACCCCTGGCCTAGTAGTGGAGTGTCTGCCCTGGAACTTGGAGATAGAGGTTTGATTCCTGGTCAGGTCATACCAAAGATCTTAAAAATGGTACCCAATGCCTCCCAGCTTGACACTCAGCTTTAATGGGTTGGATTGGGGAGTTAAACTACCAAATAGTTACCGAGCGCAGCCACTGCTGCAGCTCACCACTCCCCTTCATCGGGATGGGTCAAATGCGGAGATAAATTTCATCAGTGTGGGATGATGGCTATGGAATTTGAACTGTAATTCAACATCAACAGTCAGTAATATAGATGAGTTTTTTGGTTAAAATGTTTCTCTAATATGTATTAAATTTATTAGGACTGTAATGTGCTGAGTTCTTCCTTTGTTGCTGGAGTTCCCTGCACACGTTCCGCTGCTGTTTCTCACCAGTATAAGATGATGGAGGGCTCTAGTTTTGTTGTGCCGTTCGTGTCGGGTGGCCAAGCAAAGCCTGGCTTATAAAGCGCTGGGGGAAATCCTGCAAATGTACGACTAACCCCCAAATTCCACTACCTCCGCTCCGCTCCGGTCCGCCCCCGGCTTCCGCAGCCGCTCGCTTCCGAACTCAATTTTTACTGGTACCCGCTCTACAACGGCTCCGCTCCGGTGCGGAGACCTGAGGTGGGCAAACAAGCATGCGCGGGATTTTCGAGATCTTGCGATACAGTCCGAGCAATAAACGCGGAAGTTAGATCCAAACACCCGTTGTGTGGGAGAAGCATCGGCATGAACTGTTTAATCTGCCCATCATTTGTGTTGAGAGATCAGCAGTGTTTGGATCAACAAAGTGTGACTACTTTGATAGTGGAAACTGTATTTATGGCTTATTTTTGTGCATTTAAACTTCAGCCGCCACTGATAGTTGTTAAAAGTTGTTAAATCTGTGCATATGAAACAAAAAACGCCTTTTGTTTATCGATGTATTGTGAAAAACGGAATTTCTGCTTGCTCCTTTTCCTGTTGGGTGTTTGTGATTTCTGTCCATTGACTGCGGAGGTGCTCCGGCGTCCGGTGAAAATAGGATCGATTCTATTTTTGCCGGACGCCGGAACAGAGGGCGGCGCACGGCCGCAGTAGTGGAATTGCTCTGATTGACTAGAACGGGACCGATTTTGCTCCGGCGTTCGTGTCGGAGCGGAGCGCAGCGGAGCGGAGGTAGTGGAATTTGGGGGTGAGAAGGGAAAGGTTAACAAGTACAACATGGCATTGTTGTGCCTAAAGAGTTCACTGAACGATTTGTAAACTTGTTTATTTTGTTGTAAACGTAAACTTAACTTGCTCGTATATTTGACCAATCAACGTTAAAGTGAGCTCGTTAACATGAACAGCGACTCCCCATAACTCACTGGATATTTGTGAAAACAGAGCAGACACACAGATGCATTTGCACACATCAGTGTTTCCCTTACGTAGGCTCAGGCGCAACGGCTGAATTTCAGTGCTCAATCATCCTGGAGGTTATACTTTGTGGATGTTTATTAAAACAACTATGCAAAACTAGGGTAGCCTATTTTTATTACTTATCAAATCCAGTTTGTGCAACAGATTGATTCAATCTTGGCCCTAATAATTTACTTACATAGTAGTCCGAGATGAGTTCCTGTCCACTCTCTCCCATGTACTCAATGAGGCATCTCAGAGTTACGTCTCTCTTCTGCACAGTGGAGACATTTGTGTCCTAAAGTTAATGAAAAAGTCATTAAATTAATTAAAATTCTGACAACAGAAAAAAAGTCTCTTTTTGACACACTACCCACAATTTTTTGATACATACACATTCAAACAAAACGTGTGTAGTGGTATTTCCCAGTAAAAGGTTGATATCAATAGAAAAGGTCTAATAATTTAGACGTAGCATTATTTTTATTAATTTTTATTTACATCAAATTGCTTTCTTTTGCACCTGCGATCTTTTGAAGTAAGAAAGTAACTTTTGATTTAGCATTAACTAAGCTTCCATACAATAAATCAGTTTAAAAAACAGCATGACAACTTACCAAAGTACTGCACAGAAAGACAAAAAAGCACCATAAACGTAGACGACAAAAAAGATGACAGCGAGAAAAACAAACAAACAAACAAAAAAAGCATCATAATAACCAAATTTCCACAAAAAGAAGCAGAGCATCGAAAAACAGCCACACATAAGCAAAAAGTTATAAGTAGGGATCACTGACCTAAAGCAAAATGGTTGAAATATAACTTCATTATGGATTTAGACCAAGCAAGCAATCAAGCCCACTGCACATATGTGTACATTCCAAAAATTGTGGCTGGCAAACAAGAAAGCCCTTGCCCCACACAATTTAGATCACATCTATTGCTGGCACGATTAGTCGATTCTTCATGATGACATCAACAAAATGAAATTAAACAAAGTAGTCGACTACAAATTTAATAGTCGACGTTTATTCTATGAGCGCTTTTAAAAAAAAAAAACAATTTATTTTGGGTTTTGGTGCCTACCTCCCTTTACTGTGTAGCATTTGTATTAACAGGTTAGAAAGTTATTTAAAGTTGTTTGATAAGCGATCATCTTGTCTTTATTATTAGATGGCACATAAATGATAACACTTCAATCTAGTAGCTAATGATGGCTATATTAAGCATCTTGTGGAAAAAGCTATACTTTTTTGCATGACGTGATTAGTCGACTAATGGTCAACAAAAGTGGCAATTAGTTGATTATCAAAATAGTTGTTTGTGGCAGCCCTAGTCACATCTTACCCCTTCTTTCCACTGGACTTGAACGCAGCACCTAACAAAATAGCAGTGTTTTACCCATGAGCTCAGTCCAAACCGGGAGTGATTCACACGTGAAACATGAGCAGGAGGCTTGTTTTGTTTTTATAATCGTTCAAAACTCAGATCGTAATCGTGATTAAAATTCGATTAATTGAGCAGCCCTAATGTATGGGGTTAGATGCTCAGACAGGTGGACTGTTCAGGGCTTTGAAACCAAAGTTAAAACTTCAAACTGAAAATGAATACAGATGACTTAATGTAATACCATGATTTTTTAACTCACCTGTATCAGTTCCATCAATAAGTTCTTGATGCGCTGACCAACTGCTCCTCCCTTGGCACTGAACAAATCCAGGAGCTTTGGAGTACATTTATCCAGCTGAGACATGAATGTAGACTGTAGAGGAACAGCAGTGCACCTTTGGAACTCTGCATTTATCTATAAAAATGCAAATGATTATCAGTAAATGCTTTAAACTAAGTAAATAAAGAACAGTAATAAAACATGAATAATAATCATTGACCTGAAATGTATCGAAGAGAGCGGGCCATCTTTCCATAAAGTTTGTCACCCTTGGGGACTGAGAAACCACTTCTTTTCTTCTCAAGCTGTATGTCCTGGTCATCAGGTAGTTTATGTCTTTGCCACAGTCTTTTCTCTTGCTGGCAGTTATTATTTCAAGCCTCATATTCTCAAGAGTGTCGTCTGTTTCACCAGGTGGATGTGGAGGAAGGTAATTAAGTTCTGCCCTCTTTGCTTTCTTGATGTTTTTAGCAACTTCTTGCTCATCACCAGGCTTTTGTGACAATGAGTTGATCAAGAGTTCAGGACTTCCCAGTGCTCTACGTTTTGTGCGGTAGTTTCCACATTTGTATTTCAGGCTTTGCTGCCATCCATAAATTCCATTAAAAGACCCTGGTTCCTTCAAGCAGGGATGCTTCTCAACTAGTGCCTGTGCTACAGCACTTCTTTGGGCATCATCAGGGTAAGCAGTATAAGAAAACATTGCTTCTGCCAGACGCTCAAGGATGTCAGATCTGAAACCAGGTGATGTCATCGGGGTGCCCTCTTTTAAATATGTCTCATTGCCTTGTTTCAAAGCAAGCTCAGTGTTGTGTGAAAAAGTTGGAATGGGAAACACAGCAGGCCAGGGGTTCTGCCTTTCAAAGGTGGACTGACTCAAAATGACAGTATCTTGGGAATCCAGTGAGCCACTAGCACTGTCACTGTCAAAGGAGGACATCACAGATACATCACAGTTGCTTTCTTGGTCAGCAACTGTCAAATCTAAGCATATAGGTGCATATACAACTTTAAGTGTGTCTTTATCTTTCAGTTCATTTGTAGATGTTACGGTGAAGAAGTCACCAAAATCTTCATCTTTGTACTGAAGACTTATATCTGTGGGGATGGACAGATTTTCCTTGACTGCTGCAACCAACTCAGCCACAGTTGAGGGTACCCCACTGCTGAGTGTAACTTTTTTTATTTGATCATCAATTAGGATGCGGAATCTTACAGTTTGCTCCATGTCTTGAAAAACTGAAGACAGAGAAAAGATACAATGATTCTCAACACCTGAGACAGATGTGGCGCTTTAAAGTCACCATGCGCTTTCCTTCAACAACATAAGCTGAAAGAGGACATATATCACTAAGGCTTTGTTGTTCAATGAGAATTGTGTGATCTGTCCTCTCCAAGTAATATCCACGATAATGTTCATCAAACCAAGACACCAGTGTCCTCAAAATAAAATGCACTCTTTCTGCAAAAATAGTTATTTGAATAATTTCTGCAAAATCAGGAAGACCTGCAGTAGAACCATAGGCCACAATCATGCCTTGAGTGTATCTTGTTCCCTGATATGTGACTGTGTCAGCCAGCTGTACTTGATCATGTGAAGGATAAAGATGCTTGATTGATGCCTGAATATCTAAATGCAGGACATCCAATGGCACTGACTTTACTCTAACAACACCAAGTGCAGGCTCAATTGTTGTAGAATGCAGGTAATGGCTCATCATAAGTTGGTGCTTTGTAGCCATGGATAAAAGGACATTCTTGAAGTTGCCAGTATGCCTTACTATTCGTTTAAACTGGCTATGTTTCGCTTCAAACCTCATTGTCCAAAAAGCTATCAAAGGTCCAAAAGCCTTGATCAATCCTGGATAATGCTCCAGAAAGTGATGCTTTGGGATGAAATCTTCATCAGGAAATGCTTCCTTGAATCTGTATCTGTGTTCAGAAATCTTGTAGTCAAGGTAGGCAATGCTTTCTTCATTGTGGACTGGAGCAACGACAAGTTCAACAATGTCTTTTAAAGACATAAGCAAAAGCCAGTTTGGATCATTCAAAGGAATTCTGTGCCCAATGATAAATGGCAAGAGTCGTATGAGGGTCCAATTTTCATGAGCATTTCCTCCTAGCTTTTTTTTTGAGGAAAGGTTTGCAGGTAATGCCTGTGGACAATCAGTTTTATCAGCCCATTTATAGGGAAACTGCAAGATAGCACTGTTAAGCTCAATAAATGAGAAATATTTCTTAGAAAGGAAAACACTGAAGCACAGACCCAGTTCCAAAGGAACAATGCCTTCAAAAATGTCATGCAGTATGTCAGGTGGGTAGCCAGTGACACAATGGAAGTACTTCAGATTTTCAGTCAATGGGCAAGACTTTTTTACACCATAAAAATGTGTCCAAGCAGGATTTGCTTTAATGGTCAATACATGCGACGCATGTTCCTCTTTGGTGCGAAGAGGAAATGCACCTGACCGCACCTCCTTTATCTGAAAGTCTGATCACTGACCAAGACAAAATCTGCAAACAAATGGTCCAGAAAAATTTTCAACAAGTCCACTGATTGAGTGTGCTCCCAGATTGTCTGCTGCTACACAAAGCACACTTCCTTTTACATTTTGTCCCAACGTCGAAATGTAGATCCCATCCTGTTCTAAGATAGCAATGTCTTTCAACAAAGGGGCAAGTACTTGATCATAGCCATATTTTTTTATGTCTACGGCTTTACATAAAAGGGCCAAGTACACAGAGTTCAGAGTGGATCGAGATGAGAGAGGGTTGTTGTTAAATGTCCAGTATACAGCTGTTATCTTGTGCTTTTTTCTTGATGTTCCAAGTGGATTACAAATCTCAAAATCATCTATATACAGTAGAAGAGAAATTCGTAGTTCTTCTGAATAGAACGAATTATCTTTATAGATAGTAGCATCACGATATGATTTGTATAAAGTTGATGGTAACTCACGTTCTTTGCTTAGAATCTTTTCTCTTATATTTTGTTTGGCCAATAACTGAGTCAAGGACTGAAGAATTGGGACATACTGAAAACAACTCTTCTCTTTTGGTTCAAGGATGCACTCAATAGGCTCAACTACTTCAAAGTTTTTTTTAAAATAATCTCGTCTCCTGAACGATGAAGACAGAGGACCACCACTATTGAGTGCTAAGCTTAGAGGATTTGATTTGCACAGTTCTTCAACAAGAGATGAAACAAATGTCTCATCTATGGTTTGATTTGTTTTTGTTAGATGTGAAACAACAATATCTCTAACTGATGATTTTGTAGCAGAACTTGAAATAAAGTAAAGATCATCTACCAGTTCATCAATGCACCGAACTGAAACGAGATGAACACTTTCTAATTTCAACAAGAGGGATGCTATATAATCAATAACCAGAAGGCTTCTGTCTTCCTCTTCAGACTGTGTATTAGCCCTACTCACTTCACAATTTCCTTCACCGTGATCACCAACCCCACTATACGTTTCAAATACTAGCGCTTCTTCTGTGTGTGGCAATTGCCCTTGACAGATAATGCCAGGTTTGAAATCCTTTAAGGAATGTGGAGTATGTTTTCTGTGTTTGTGTGTTGCAAAAGTCCCATAAATATTTGTTTGGTGATTACACCCTGTGAAGACACACTTTACAGTCTCGTTATTCTTCAGATGATGACCTAGGTGTTCAAAAAAGTCTTTTTCACTTGGGAATCCTTGTTTTTGACATAATATGCAGGTGTAAGAAACATCTACTTGTGACTTGAGGGAATGAACTGCTTGATGGGATCTTGATAAGTGAGAACGAAGGGAACTCCAGTTTTTAAAAGAGCATGGGCATTCTACATGAATACAGGGCAAGGCACAACTGTGTCCATAGGTTCCATGATGCAGTCTATAATGCTTTAAAATATCAGTCTTTACTGGTAAAACCTTGGTGCACAATTTACAGGGCCATCCCATCTGTAATAAAAAGAAAAGCATCGCTTATCGTTGTGCAAGTTAATAAAGCTACATATACACAGAGAGATAGCATAGGTATTTAGGTTTTTTTTAAACTCATAAAAGTCTTTTTTGGGAACAGTAGTTTGGTTTATTTGAAGTAGTGCTTTATAAAGGTACTTTTAAGTTGTTACTTGCCCACAATAAATACATATAGTTATAGCTGCTTGATTATGCTAAAAACTGTTATCACGATTATTATGACTGAAATTGAGATCTAGATTATTTTACAATATTTTGAAAGTTGATAACACACATATACTAATACTACTCATCAGTGTTGTGCCCAAACGCTTTCATTGAACGACGGTTTGTGAATTTGTTCGTCTTTTTCATGAATGAAAGCTGAACTCGTTTGTGTTTTGCCTGACGAACGTAAAAGTGAGTGTGTTCGTTCTGGAGTGCGTGAACGGGTTTATTAACACGTTCTTTTGCCGTTCTAGCTCCAGATCTCCACGGAGTATCTCCGGAGCTAAAGACTAGCTAAAACATCCTGTTACATAGATTTTATAAAAATTAGAACCCGCAAATTCTGCCAAACATATGCAGCAGTGGTTGGTGCGGCGTCTACACTTATGTCTATGCTGTGTGGAGGATGGACGTCATGGTGCGTTCCATGTACCTCGGAAAATAATTGTACTTAACGTTGATTTTAGATGCACCCTTAAAAGTTTATCTTGTAAAATAAACATGTTTTTGTCACATCTACTATTTGTATTCTGAAGTTAAAATTTCCGAGTAGGTGGTAAACTGGAACAAACCGGAGAGAAAACAGATGTGAAAACACTACAGTCACACCGGTAACATTTACAATTCGTTTATTTATCTATTTGCGTTGTTTTTTTTACCAAATAATTTGGGGCTGATTGTTGCCCTTTATGACTCAATCTCTTTAACTTTATTTTTCTTGGGCAAACAAGTCAGAAAAGTCACAGAATTTGAGAAGTTATTAAATTTAAACATAATTAAATGTTTAAAACTTGGAGGTAAATCCTTGTTTCCTATCTCAGCCTGTAGTAATGAAAGTCATTCAAACAGACATTCAAATATATGTGTGTGTGTTTTTGGCTACAGAAGCACATAAACAAACAGATACGCGAAGTAGTGATCTTTAACAAACAAAGCAACACATTTTCAGTGTGATATGCTTGCCAGCCACTAGATGGTGCCATCAGATAAGAGAAATACTCCGGAAAGAAGCTTTAATTTAGCTCAGATAGAGTAACTTATTTTATCCAGCAAGATAATTTGGAGGTATGGTGGGAGGGGACATGAAAATAGTCAAACACATGTCTCACATTCATTGCATGGGAGTTTGCAGCCATGATCAAACACAAATCCACATTAAATATGGCTCACTCCATCTTGAAATTATTTTGCTTGTAAAACAGATGGTCTGGTGCATGAGTTAGCTCCACCAAGGAAAGTTTATGACTGATCAGTCGATGTAACGTGATCATGCTGTACATGCGCACATCACTCACTTTCCTAGTGTTTCCCCTACATAGGCTCAGGCATGGCGCTGCACCATGCCTAAAACTCCACTGTCACGGCCACGAAATATCCGCCCCTCCCCCACCGCTCTGACGTGAGACACAAGGAGGCGAACGGCCTGCGTTTTGTTTATTTCAAATCCAAATTGTAATAGAGATTAGATTTCACTTAATCAAGCAGCCTTACATTTAATGCATTTATTGGAGCGTATATAAATATGAGAAAACAGCTTTTAGCCAAGGAAGCGCTTTTTTTTTTACCGTGTCCTGTCTGGCTGTGAAGCAAGCAGAATTGATGTCTGAATGCTGGTGACAAGCCTTACAGATTTATTCTCAGGCGGAGCATCAAAGCGTTTGCTTTTAATGTCACGCCTGATACTTAAAACTTTACAAATGTCATACACCTTCACTTCAAAATAACCCTAGCTGTTACTGAAAGAAAGAACAGAATGTTAACTGACTTATATATTTAGTGAAACTAAAATATTTGACCTTAACTTACCTAATGTGATCTTCAAAGAAGACAACTTTTTGTGGAATTGCCTCAATTACGCAGATCTGATGTTCTTCTAAAGAAAAAATAAAGAAAAAATGTATTAATTGTTGAATGATATTGACTCATTCGCTGCCAGCCATTACCTGATCGGTAAAGCCCTTCACTGCCAGCCTTTCTCACCGTTTTTACTGTTTTTTTATGAGTCACAGAACGTTTCGCTCTAGGATGATGTCGACGCCAAAACAACCAAAACA